GCTCTCGTGTGTGACACTCGTCCGGCCAGCCCGCCGATTCCTGCTTGATTTTAAGCCAGGTGTTGACACAATCTGCGAAGAGCCCCACCCGTCTGTCCTCTTCGCGGAAATGCCACACCTCATGTATTTTAACGATACGATAACCGAGCTCCCTCTCAGCATCCGTTCTTGATCTGTTTGAGGACACAGGATGGTTCTTTCCAGCCAGGGCTTTTGCTGTTCTTAGCGAACACAGGCGGAGCAGAGGGGGAAGGTGAGTTTACAACCAGCCCGGATGGGTAGTACGGGATGTAATAAATGCTGCGGGGCCAAGATGTCGAATTGTACTAAGCCAGAATAATGATCGATCTCTTGGTCCGAGGGATTGGTATAGATCAGCGGGAACCGAACCGGGTATTCTTTGTATTTGTTTACCCAGGGGTAAAGGGACGTGACATCACAGTATTTGATGTTCTCTCCGTCTTCGGCTTTGGCGTACAAGGAGACAGCCCCTGTCTGCCCCCATAGAAGGCGTCTCGTGGGTCTAAGGGAGGGACCATGTCCAAGTCGTCTAGGAACGCTTTTAAGGCAGGGTCAGTCTTCTTCTCTTCTTGACATTCAGATTCCCATTTTTCTACGACGTGGTAACCACAAAGACGCAACATGGCCGCTTTTCTTTCGGTGGCTTCATACAGTTCATTGACTGTACGGTCTGCATGGCAATTTCTTCTGACATTGCGTTGCCGCTTGAAACAACGGGGGCACCCGTGATAGAAGCAGCCGTAAAATTCAAAGATGGTATGGGTGGTCTCGTCGTAGCCATCCACGTACACCATCTCGTCTGGGTTGCCGACTCGTACTTCCCCACCATTGCGCACGTGGCGGACACGCCCCATCCCTCCCAAAAGATGATCTTCATAATAGAGCCATTCCAAAACGATTTTACTTTGGTTGATGCGGTTCCCACCTTGCGGTTCTTAGGCAATGAGATCGGTTTTCAATTTTTCTCGTCGCCAGAAGAGATTGCAGGCGCTGGCAATCGTGACTGCTTCCACGAGAGGATTGAAGCAGGCAATTTCTTCAAACTCCGCTTCAAACTTCAAACACCCTTCTTTTAATAGCTTGACATCGCTTTCGCAATACTTCAATAGCTCCTCTTGAAAGTTGAACACTGCTTGTTCCGCGACTTTGCGGGCGTGCCATGCCAGAAACTTGTCTCTCTTCTTACTATCCATTTCGGCTGGATGGTAATATTCTTTTGGGGGGTACTCACCAGAATACTCAAAATTTTCTTCACGGTTGAAGGCGTGAGGAAAAAAACCTTTGTGGAGCTCACGAAGATTGAACGTAGCAGGAAATTTCTCAAGTGCCATGGCAAAGAAATTCATCGGGTTTTTAAAGATCAAGTTCCCCGACTCAAAATAAAGGATTTTTGCACCCTGCGTTAGAGGTTTTTCGACCGCTCGTCCTTGGTCATACAGTGCTTCTAAAATGAAGTTCCCGTCAAATCCTCTCATGTTATGGAAGAAGGTGATGACTTTGCGGAGTCTTTCATCTCCTTCCACTTCTGTAAGGTCTTCCAGGGCCTGGAGGAAGTCCTCGATGCAATCACTATGAAAGATCTCGTCATCCTCTTCAGACGACAAGCAGATCAGGTTGGGTATAAATACTCTTTCTTCAGTTAACGAACATTCGATATCCGCGAAATTTAAGACGGGGGGAGGGGGTGGACCTTTCTCTTCATTCTCGTCATCATTCTCATGTTGGAATGCCATCGGATCTTCAAATCCGTCTACTTGGGCGGTGTCTTTCTTCGGCTTGACCGGCTGAATGAAACATCTATGGTTGACATGCTTAAATTCCCCACAGTTAGTGCAGGTGACATGGTAACACTCATGCGGTTTGGTGGGATCAAAATGAAATTCGGCGGCACATTTCAAACATTTTCTCCAGCTTTCACAAATGCTTTTGTCGTCTTTCTTCTTTCCTTTCTTTTTGTGGGTTTCAAAACAATCTTGGCCATAAAATTTGCAGTTGCAGTTTGGACATTCAAGGGTTGGCTTGATCCACGCAGCATAATTTGGGCAGGTCTTATTTGTTCGAAGACAGGAGGGGCAGTTCTGTCCGCAACAATTGTGGTGGGCGGAGCCCTCGACATCATAACCCTTATCGCACAGACGACAGTAATAGGAACAATTGATAAGGGCAGGGATGCTAGTTAACCCATCGAAATGGTCTTGATGTTTCACCAGTGAGATAACATGCGGTGTGTTATTGTATTTTGCCTCTTTGAACACAATTAAACATTTAGACGGTTCGACGACAATGAGTTGGTATCCCTGTGGTCCTAGAAAGTCTTGAAATTTTTCCAATTCTTCAAACCCACAGGTACCTTAACATAGCATAACATAACATACATGTTTATTCAAACTCATATATAACTACATAAATTTGAAAGGGAGAGTCTTGAGGTTAACCCTATGAATAAAACTCTCCTAAAAACAACAAACAAACAATAAAAATTACAACTTTAAAAAGGATTTGAGTTTACATTTAAAAAGTTCAAGGGTACCGGCTTCAACAACATTACTAGGTAAATTGTTCCAATAACTAATTACATTGTTAAAAAAATAATATTTAAAACAGTTGATTCTAGATAATTTACAATAAAGCTTATACGAGTGATTTGCCCTAGTGGATTTGACTTTACCGAATTGAAAGAATTCCTCAAAATCCAAGTGTGATAAGCCAAACACGATCTTATAACATTCAACAAGAGAGGAATATGTCCTACGACTGGACAAAGATGGCCAATGTAACGTGTCACAACGGTCTTCATAAGACATATCACCTCTTTTTTGCCTAAGAGCTAATCTTGACGCGCGTCTTTGCACGCTCTCTATTGCATGAATATCTTTGACAAGATATGGGTTCCAGACTGGAGCAGCATACTCTAGAAGTGGTCTGACCAATGTTTTGTAAAGCAATGAAAAAGTTGTTGTATTAGCTGTTCCAACAGACCGTCTTATTAGCCCTAGGACTTGGTTCGCCTTATTCACCATAGTACTAATATGTTCACTCCAAGTAAGATCTTTTGATATAATAATTCCAAGATCTTTAAAGCTCTTGACATCTTTTAAGGCCGTACCTAGTTTATAATTCGTAGTCGATTTGTCACGAGAATGCGTTATTCGCATTGCTTCACACTTTTCCTCATTGAAACGAAGTTGCCATTTTTTCGCCCATTTACCAAGATTATTCAAATCAGTTTGAAGGTATTGTTCATCGAGACTAGGGTTGCGAAGCTCTCCTTAAATCTTTGTGTCATCCGCAAATAATTTAATTTTTGAAGAGACACTATCAACGATATCATTTATATATGATAGGAATAAAATTGGAACAAGAATAGTTCCCTGTGGGGTACCAGATATCACAGGTGCCCAATCAGAAAAAGTCCCTCTTACAACAACTCGTTGCTTTCTACACGTGAGGAAATGCCTCAACCAGTTAAGAAGTTTGCTCTCAATACCGAGGCTATATAACTCTATGAGTAGACGCTCATGAGGAACACTATCAAAAGCCTTTGCGAGATCAAGAAATACAACATCTGTTGCTACAGATGAATTCCTAGATCTGGCGAAGTCATGAAAAGTAGAGAGTAACTGGGTCACAGTAGACCTACCCTGCAAAAAACCAAATTGGTTTTTGTTTATCACGTTTTGGTAAACACCCGCTTCTCGATGCAACAATTTGGCCAATCGTTCTTGAATGGGTCTTCCCTTCCTTAGATTCTGATACTGGGAGCCATTGTCCACCCTCTCCTTCATCGTCACAATTGCCCAGACGAGACATATGTTGTCTTTATTTTGGATGGTCACCACACAGCTCTTTTTCTTGGCCAATTTCTCCCACGCATGGCGGCTAGGATTGGCTTTTTTACCCCCGTTCTTTCCTCCACGACCTAACCGTTTCACAAAGGTGAGTTCGACATAAAAGCCATCTCGTTGGGGGTCCATGACTTCAGCTAAATTCAATTTTTTGGCTAAATCTTCCAGCCAGGCGCGGGTGTAAGCCCCATTAGACAACCATTCTTTTAAAGGGACATTTCGGGCAGATTGTGACCAGACATGAGTGAATGAGTTTGAATGGACAGAGACTAGCAAAGAATAATCCTGGACGTTGAAACCCTCGTTTTCCACCACCGGCTGCAACCCCTGAATTAGAGCTTCGGTGATGGCTTCCCTTAGTGGTTCATCTTGCGCATCTCGCAGTTGTTGTAAAGTAAGCCTATATTTCTTTTGGTCTACAATGCCACGAAACGATCTATTTCTTCCCACTGGTGTAAATTCTGCTCGGAAAAGTGGATTCCCTCCATGTTGCTCGAAGCGGCGAAAGGCAGACAACAGACCCTCATCATCCTCCTTCATTAAGGCTATAAACGCTTGCATCAACGCTTGATTGTTTTTGCAAATTAAGCCTACATTTTGTTCTTTACGCTTCGAAACGGTTGAATTGCCGTTATTTTATTGTGTCTTACTTGAAATCTACCTTTCCGCTATGCAACACTCAGTTTGCGGTTATAATTTAACAATGTTTTTGCTAATTAAGCCTACATTTTGTTCTTTACGCTTCGAAACGCTTGAATTGCCGTTATTTTTCTGTGTTTTACTTGAAATCTACCTTTCCGCTATGCAACACTCAGTTTGCGGTTATAATTTAAAAACCTACACTTTCACAGTTTACTCACCGTTAACCTTAGTTGGCGGTTATGCTTCGCTCCGTAAAAATAGTATTCTGCATTCACTTTGTTTACGCATCCCCCCACACAGTTCGCAGTTAAAATTCTGTCTTTTACTTACACTTTCGCCTACATTACTTTTTGTTGACGCTTTATTACTAATACACCAAACATTATTAACAAAATTTACCTTCAATGTCGGTATCGATTGCTTCTATTGAGGTTGGCTCTTGAACACCTTCCCCGTTGTAGCTGATGAGCTCTATAAATTAATACGACAGCATTAAAGCACTCCCCTTTCTGCTTCGTTTTAAACACTTTGTTTTACGCAACGGGTAATTAAGCAATCTTACCTTCGTTTGATAAATCTTGGTTCATTTTCAAGCAATAACTTAGCTGAATTAGAACTTACACTTTGACAATGCTGACTCGTTGTGATCGCTAATTGCTCAAGACTTTAAGACACTTGGCGGTGAATGAACGATTGTGGTTCCTTTATAATCGCTGAAACAAAAGGCAGTATTGGCCCTTGAGTTGTTTAGGCTTCATTTGCGTACAAAATCGCTGAAGCGTATTGTACACGTGTAATAAATAATTTTGTTGCTGAGGTAGGCTCTTTCCATTAACGTACGTACTCATTGTTGCCAAGATTGCTGACGCAATTACTATTTCACCTTCGTTCTGCCGGCAAGCAAATTTGCTTATTTCTAAAAACGCGGGACATTACTTTCGCTGAGCTAGCGAAATGAACTTCATTTTCACCCTTTGTTTTCGGGGATTAGTCGCCTCATCTTATTTACGTCAATGACTAATACTCCCTCTTTTTTCCTGCACGCAATGACCTTTCGCTTTTGTTGCTTTCCCTCGTACGTGATGTTAAGTCTTATTTACTTTTTCCCTTCCTAATGTAAACGCGGGACGTTACTTTCGCTGAGCTAGCGAAATGAACTTCATTTTCACCCTTTGTTTTCGGGGATTAGTCGCCTCATCTTATTTACGTCAATGACTAATAATCCCTCTTTTTGTCTGCACGCAATGACCTTTCGCTTTTTTCGCTTTCCCTGGTACTTTAAGTCTTATTTTCTTTTCCCTTCCTAATTTGATATTCATTACCCCGTCTTATTTCCCAGTTAATTATGAAGACAATTACTTTTACACTCTTTCAGCACTCTTTATTAAAATAGCTATTACAAGCGGGACTTGTGGCGGAAGATAAACTTCCCTGCCCATTTCAATCCATTCTTCAAATAAAGTTACATACAATGCAAAACAATTTTCATGCGCTTTTCGTCTATATTCGGCTGTTCCCCATAAATATTTTCAGTAGTTCAGATCAATATAGTCATCTATAATTAGTCTTGAAGTTAAAATCCTTAAACAGTGGGCGCACAGTTCGTCAGTACTTGTATTTACCCATTGGGTGTGAAAACAAAAAGTTCTTTCTCCGATTTCCTCTATTGTGCTTCTGGAAATACAAAGGGGTACCTTTCGATTAATGATGCATACACTCTACAAAATTTGACATAGGCTGCAAACAGGTCAAAGTCTTTTGACCGAGTCCTAAATAGAAGTCGGTCTTCAATACAGATTCCAAATAGTCCAATTCTTAGATTGCAACTAGTACATGACTCCCCCGAATATACCCACAGGGTCACGGGGCAACAGGGTAACACTCTCAGTTCCACAAGTGTTGGTCTACAAAATAAAAAACACACCATTCGTTTACCGTCCTATTCTTTGAATAATCGATGGCCCTTTATACCATTTCAAAAGGGTCTCACGTTCCCGATTGTTGTCTACCTCTTCGTATTTCCACGTCAAAATTAAACCATCTAATGTTAGAACAAACTCAAATATTCTTTCACAATGACTACATATATTTTTGTTAAAATTCAACCATTTTGTGAATGGACAATACTTCATCTTTTTCCATCTTCTTATTGTTTGCACAACACTTCTACAATAAACAACAAAATGACACGTTTTCAAAATGACAGTAAAAGAGTTTTTATGCGCGGTGTCCACTCTAGGTCTCTGACAAAAGGTAGCAGTGCCAGGGTTTCTCTAAATGAAACTCAAAAACCAGACAGTAAATGAGGGCCTCCACTCGACATCTGGGAGCAGTCGAATGAGGTCAAGCGACGATCTACATACAAATACATAATTAATTTTTACCATTGACCTAAACGAAAGCTACTAATTACTGAAACACTTTACCGATTTAACTATCTGCCATTGCACGGATATTAAATGCGATAAACGCATACGCGGGCCAATGCCTGTTTTAATTTCCATTGCTGTACGCTCGGTTCATAAAACGTACAAAAAGTGCTACGGGCCACATTCCGTTTTGGTTTCCACCTTGGTATGCTTTTACGATTTGTAACGTTAGTCTAAATTAATGGAGAAAGTTGGCAAAATAAATTTTCTTGGATAGCGTCCAGTCAAGATCTCTTAATGTCCTTATGTCCATAAGCGTCTCTCTAAACAAAGAACAATCCACGCCTTTACCTAACTTCGCTGTAGCCATCACACGTGGCTGGGATACAAGGGCAGGATCAAGTTTAAGTCTTCTAACACATGCAATTCAATGAGTACGTACCGAAAACGAAGTTTGTGTTCCTCTCTGAACATGTCAATCCTTTCATTGAATTCCCTTTCTTTCAGTGCAGTACGTACAGTATGCCATGGCGGCAAAAACTTTCTGGCTTGCTGCCCCTGGGTGTGGCACAGCTTTCAGACTTAGTTCTTGAAGGGACATCATTTTCGATTAAGAAACAGGGTACAACGGTAAAGCGAAATGAGGCTTATTTCATGCTTCTTTTCTTTTTTCTAACTGTTGGCTTTTCTTTCATTGGTACTTTTTGGATCCCCCTGCGACTTTTTCCAACTTTATTGGTTTAGCCTATTCCCTTGTGTTTTTCACACACCTAGCATTTGCTAAAGCACTTGGCAAGACGCGCTCTGTTGTGCTGTTTTTGCTAACGAAGCTTCAAGCAATGAAATATAAAGGCTTAGTAGACCCCAAAAACGAGCCGTTCGGCAACCTGCTACCTTTCGAGGTTCAAGTTATCATTATGTTCCGGACCCAATGTTTCATGACCAATGACAGAAGGAAAAAAATGAATGCAGAATTTACCCGCCTTCCCCGTTGCCTTAGAACAGACATTCCAAAGTTCGTGGCATTTTCGTTTTCAAGCGGTTACAAACGTTTTTCTTCTGCTATGGAAAACAAACCATATCCTCGCTTTTACGGTTGTCCTCACTGTTTCAGAAGGAACACACAACAAGTGTCGGTAAGTATGTTCATCAATTTCCCTTCAGTTTTATTACATGCTTACCAAGTTTGGCCCATATTTTGGAGTTATTTACACAGGCTCATCCAGAGATACAGCTCTTTGAACTACCGGTACACGGCAAGAGACCAAATCAGAGGATTAAGGATAATTTGGACTTTTTGTAGACTATTTACACGACAGATTTTCTCGTTTACCAGCTGCCCTTTCCTTTATTTTGTAATTTTGCGATTGATATTTTTAAACATGTAATTTTGCGGTTGATATTTTTACACATTACAAATTCTTATTCCTTTTATTGCATATTGCATCATATGTTTTACTGACTACTCTTTCCGACCCATTCCATTGATCACCCGAGCCTCGTTTTAGCTTCTTTTAGTTTTCTATATGTTGGCTAAACTCTTTCATTGGCTAATTTCGATTCCCCAGCGACTTTTTAAGTCTCGATTGGTTTAGCCTATTCCCTTGTGTTTTTCACACACCTAACATTTGCATAGAGTATATGGCAAGACACTTCTGTTGTGCTGTTTTTGCTAACGAAGCAATGAAGTACAAGGGCTTAGTAGACCCAAAAAACAAGCCGTTCGGCAACCTGCTACCTTTCGAGGTTCAAGTTATCATTATGTTCTGGACCCAATGTTTCATGACCAATGACAGAAGGAAAAAAATGAATGCAGAATTTACCCGCCTTCCCCATTGCCTTAGAACAGGCATTCCAATGTTCGTGGCATTTTCGTTTTCAAGTGGCTACAAACGTTTTTCTTCTGCTATGGAAAACAAACCTTATCCTAGCTTTTACGGTTGTCCTCACTGTTTTAGACGAAAAACCAAGCAATACTCGGTACGTTTGAACGTTTATTTTATTTTGCAATTCATTTGCCCTTTTTTTCGGGGGTTAGTCGTAATCTTATTTACGTCAATGACTATTTCACAATCCTTTACATTCAAGCAATATTTCTTACACACACTTTTTCTTCTAGATTGATATGGTTGTGACAGAGAACAAGCATGAAAAGAAATTCAACGATGCTCGAATCGCTCTCATTTTAGATTTACTGCGCGCCTATTACGGTCCTTCCATTCCATTGTACCGATATCCAGTTAATGGAACGCAAGGCAATCCAGTCATTCTCGATTTATTGGTAAATGGATTTCTTCTTGACTGGCTGATCGACTGTTATTCCAATATCTCTGACTTTTCTCTGACTTTATAATACTTGTAATTTGATTAAACAAATTTCTTCACAACGTTTTTCGTTACTGCGCCTGCGTTATGCATTGCGCATGCTGTGTCTCTCCTTCTTGCCTCATGACATCATCCCTCGTTAACATAATTGCGACCCCGTTCCGAAGGGACCCGAGCCCTCTTCGAAGGCTTCCTACCACACCCGAGCCTAGTTCTAAGATATTTCCTATTTCCCCCAAAGATAGATCGACATATCCTCTCCACCAATCAGAAGGCTCGAAAGACAATAGACCTCCTACCTAGAATAATGTGCACCCAACAGACTACGTATGCTGCTTTGGTTGAACTCGCCGTATTTAGGAATTTTGGTACATCACTTAGATAGAAATTAAAAAGAGTAGGTAACAACATGCAACCTTGCTTTACCCCGGCATGACAAGTAAAGGATTAGGTTAATTTGTTATCAATTTTAACTGCTTATCATTTTTGAGTACATGGATATTAAAACGTCTAGGAAACGTCCTTGGACACCTTCTTTTCTCAGTTTGTCGAATAGTTTTTGTCGGAGTATACAGTCGAAGGCTTTTCTAAAGTCGACGAAACATGAAAAGAGAAAATTTCGGTGCTTCTGTGGCTTAGATTTCACGTACTTGTCAATAAGTGTTTTTAATGTGAAGATGTTATCAACTGTCCCGTGCATTTTTCTGAAACCACCTTGTTCAGCTTTCAAAATTCCTTTTTGAACCACGTAGTCGTACAGTCGATTGAAGAGAATTGATGTAAAGAGCTTGCCTAGCGTAGAAAGCAAAGTGATACCTCGGTAATTTTCAACTTTGGATCGATCATCCTTTTTGTGAATAGGTACAATGAGGCCAAAACTCCAAAGAGCAGGGTATTTGCCAGTATCTAAGATTCGATGAAATAAATTTACTAAATCCGATTTTATTACTTCATTTAATATATTATCGAAACCTGGAGATTTGTTTGCCTTCCGTTTGTTAATTTCAGTTTCGAACTCTTCATCGTTACTGTGGGTTTCCATATTCGTCTCCGGAGCTGTCCGGATATTATTGAGAGGGGCCGCATTCTGTTGCTTAAAGTATTTATAAAACTGTTCCGTACTCGCTGTTTCAGCTCCATGTGTTTTTCTTTTTCCTAAATTAAATATTTTTTTCCTATTTGTCGCCAGGTCTCTTTGGAGTTCTGCATATCGATATTAGACAAGCCTTTACTGATACACAGCGTTACTGATATACTCCCGTTTCTTCCGTGTACAAGTTTGTTTGGACCTCTTCTTTTTGTCGCGCAGGAGTTGTCTCAGTTCTAAATTATTAGTGCTTTTAGAAATTTTCTCCCCAAGGGCTTGCAAGTTTTCTTTTCCTGTTTCGCATTCCAGATCGAACCATTTGTTTTGTTATTTTTATTTAATTTTGCTGCCTCTCGATTTCAATCCAGCTTCTTTGCATGCTTCTACCAAAGTTTCACTAATTAATTCAGACGCAGTATCGATGCTATCATGTTTTACAGCTGCTTCTAACCTGGATTGAACTGTTTGTGATTTGAGACCGTCCTTAAGTCTGTCCTTAGACTTGATATTCCAGAAAAGCCTATTATATTCGGTCAAGATGAGTTCGGCTGATGTTTCAAAAGAATCTCGGTTAACAAAGTTAGGTTTTATCGGGAATGATAGGTAACAGTGATACGATAAATGTGGCATTAATGGGTTAACAATAAGATATTGCACATTCCTTAGAATACTTTTGATCTTATGACGTAATCAACAACACTGCTGCCGTTATAATGAAAGCAGGTCTTTTTACCCTCCAAATCACCAAAAATCCTTCTATTGAGAATTGGTAAATTTAACTCTGTACATGTTTCTAACAAATTTCTACCCCTAGCGTTCACGGTACCTGAATCTTGTGACCGTCTTAAGCATTGTTCGTCATTCTCGTAGTCCTCAGGGACATTCAGGAAAGCGTTGTCATCATCTAAGACTGTTTTCTGAATATCACCCGTTCGTGCATTATAATCACCCTGAACAATTATGTCACCCTTTTGTGAAAATAAAAACATTTCTTCTTCTAATTCCCCAATTAAATCTTCGCTGCTATTTCTTTCATAGTTTGGTGGGCTTAAATAAGCTGTTCCTGTGTATATATCCTTTTGAAACAACGTTTGAAAGTTGAAGTAAGTTTTATCAAGTTTACACCATATTATGTTTTTGTTTTCAGACAGGATGTAGGTGACTCCTTTAGCGAGGTTTTGATTTATATATACGGATAGTCCACCGGAAGGTCGGTTTCCCGATTGATTCCTACAATTAATAAAATGTTTGAATTTACCTACATTCATCACCGTTTCATAAGTTCCATGTGTTTCAACAAGTGCAAAAATGTCATGTTTGTTAATTATGCTTAAGACATCGTCTGTTTTTAGTCTATTTCCTAGAATGCTACTGTTAAAACCATTCAAATTCCAGAACCCTATTCGCAATTGACGTGACACACGGAATGGTAAAAGAAAACGGAAAGGGATAACTTATCTCATTAACATCTCGCTCTCTCTTAGATACTCTGCAATTCGGTTGAGAGCTTGTAATGGTTGATCATTGTGATAGATCCTTCTTCGGCGTTCTCGGGCTGTTCTCTCTGAGGACCGACTGGGACGTGGGCAAAAGCACGTCTATTCCTTGGCAAGCTTTCGAGGTTTCTGCCCCGAAGTCCTAGGTGGTGTTTAATGTTTGTTACAAGTTTCTTTGTAGTGATTTTGTTGTTCAGGTGAACTTCATCGTAGAATACTTGCTCAATTAAGTTTCCGTAGTTGTCGTACGTTACTCTTTTGTTGTCGACGAAAGTCACACCTAGATCTGTGCATATGCTTTCGTAGTGACAGTTGATTTCATCAATAAGCTGATTTTTACTGTTATCCCGTGGGACGTACGTCAGTCTTGAAAATGCTATAGTACTATTCGGCCATCTATACTTTAGGTTGACGAGGCAGTTTTCCATGTTTGTTCTGATTTCATTTGCGGTCAGTTTCCCAACATCACTTGTACCGGAACGGATTACAAAGTAATCATAATCATTTCTTTCCTGCATGTGGTTGATGTACTGGCTTATTTCCCTCGTTCCCCCAGAGATAGTTTGTTTGTTTACATAACGGTTTGGGGCGAACTTGCATTGCTGTATTCCTCTTACCAGCGAATCTCCTAACAACAGCACCGGTTCCTTTGATAATCGTCCATTTGGGTTGTACACATGATTCTGATTTGAGGAGGATGTAGAAGCAAGTTAATCGTTGGGCTGGGAGATTGGTGGTTGCGTTCTTGTAGCAGTGGGACTTGAAGTGGTAGTAGATGATGGATTAGGTTGCGTGTTTGGTGTGATAGATTCAACGATCGAGCGATTTTCCTCGACTAGAGTTTCATACCTGTTTGACGTAGCTACATACTGTGTATGTGTACTCACTTGAGTCCGCTATTACCATTGAAAGTTGTGATGAAGGGTCCTGAGGGCTTGTTTCTTGTAACTGTGAGATGAGTGACTGTTCAGATATACACACTTGATTTTTAATCTCATTGAGTTGTTGTAAAATGTGTTTGATCGAGTCCTCAGATGATGCTTTTAATTAGTTTTCAGTGTTTTTAGATCCGAAGACAGTTTGGAGGATACATTTGCAATTTGCTTTGCTAACTTTTGCACCTCTTCGCCGATTTCGTCCTTAACCGCTTGAATATGATTTTCGCAGGATAGTTTTACTTCTTTTGCTTGGTTTTTACACTTTTGTTCTAAATCTGTTAACTCTATCGCGCACTCACTTATTTCTATGGAGTTAGAGGAAATATGACTTTCAATCTTCTTGTTAGTAAAGTCGCGTTGTTTATCTTTGATGAAACTTTTCATAACGGTCATCGTGATCACTTGTTGGTTTCAAATTCAACACTGGTTCAGTAGTCACAGCACTTCCACTGTTAGGCGATACTTCGATCAGAGTATCTTGAGATTTAGTTCCGTTTTCGACAATATTCCGAAGCTTTTTTACATACTGATCCTTTTGTGAGCCTTGCACTTGTAAAGTTTTTGTGGAGGAATAGAAGTTAACGGTTACCGATTCAAACTTTAACACCTCTGTGTTACCGTTGGAGTTTACGCTCACTAAATTATTCTTATCTCCTCCTTCCAGATCAGCGATCCAGAAGTCTCGTAAGGTTTTTACGTCCCTGTTCCATTTAAATTGATTCTTTTGAGGGTTAAAACCAAATGTGGATTGATTTTAGTCGGAGCAATATCAGGGGCACCCAACGAGAATATAGTCCAAAACCACTTAAACATAGCATTGTTAAACGTATTTTAGTATTTAAACGGTAGATATAGGCATATTTTTTCCCTTAAAAATTTTTCATCTGTTCGGATTTCCTAGCCGAAAGTGTAGTGATCCGAAAATTATAGGGATCAAAACTTACCTTTTCGAAAATTTGAGCCAGAAAAAAGGCTCCCGAAAATTCTAGGAGCACCTCATTAGGGTGAAAATCCGATAAAAATGGGCATTTATACCACTTTTTAGATGTTCGAAAATCCTAGGAGAGGCAGGCAAGCAAGAAATTTTGCAACAAGTCTTCCGAAAATTCTAGATCTCAAATCGTCTTCCGA